TACTCACTATTGTTTTTTTTTATAATTCCACGCGGACAGTGTCGCGGGCGAAAGCTAGTTATCTATTTATACTTCTATACTAATATAATAAAGCGTAAACACACTGCTTCGTAGCGTAGGATGTCAGCAATCACAGCACATTTTTTAATGGCTTTCGTTAATAAAGAGCCCTACACTTACACGATTTAGGCTATATATTTTGACGCTATTAAACATAGGGGTTAAATAAATTGAAAAATAAAACCTTAATGTGGGAAATAGACCATGAACTACAAGCTGCCAAAATCAAGGAAGCAAGATTGCCATGGCACGGTAATTAATATATGCATTTGAATGATGAAAAGTAATGTTTTAATAATTTTATGCGGATGATTATACGAGATTTTTCTTTTTTTTTGTTAAATATGTTCTGACATGTAGGCAATAAATACTCTGTAGTGTTATAATTAAATTATTAAAAAAGAATAATTCTAACTGTCAAAACTTTTGAATCGACTGTCATTTGCAATTGACAGATCATTGAACAGAAAGAAATATAATGTATTTTTTTAATGTACAAAATTGAATTTTTGAGGCAAACAGATGTATTGTCTGAATTTAAGGCATATAAAATGTATAATTGCAGTCCCGTTGCATTGTGTCGTTCAATGGAGACGCTGTCGAAGACGGGCGCGGGCGCGCTGGCCAGCGTGCCGGAGGAGCCGCGCGGCGCCACGCCCCATGCCGACGCACCAGATGAGATCATTGAAATTGGTATGTCCGAATTTATTTATACGACCCATTCTTATAGTTGATCGACAAACTCGTGGACACTCGTTGAACGTATTTGGCCTTTTTTTCTTAATAACGCCTTTAACTCCGTCGATTATTATAATGCGTTTGTCGCTTAGCTATGCTATCGGGTCTTTGACAATTAGTTGTGTAGATGATTATTTAGTTCACAGTCGATTAATTTTGATATAATTATACTTTTTAGAATAGAATGGATTAGAGATAATTAGTGCTAGATATGTAGTATATAATATCCTTACAGTCTTACAAATAAACGCGGTGTAAAGTTAAACTTAGGAACAACTGAGAATAAGCAAACTTTGTACTAATATTTGCTTATACTCATTTTATTCGTAAGTTTCACTTTATAACGCGTTTATTAGTAAGGCTGTTAGTGTTCACTATATTGCCTAGAGTAAACATATATCAGTAGTGATGTACCTACACACGGATTTTAGTCAACACATCGATTTTTAAAACCACTTTTACACAAAAAATTGTAGAAATTGTAATGGACATAAACCTATTTTCCTTTTACTTTTTTAGTTTTAGTTTATAGCGTAAATAAATAATCCAGTCTTATAAGTTTTTGACTCAATCCAGGACAATTTCAGTGAATAGTTTACAGTAAGTTGTGTGTATGTCCAGACAGCGATGACGACGCGCCCGCGGACGTGCAAACCTGTTCTCCATACCACAAGTGTTTTAGTAAGTATATAAGATATTTAGACTAGTGAGTGTTTTGTGTTGCTTAGTATTTAGTAGTAATATCGGCCTTTGATTAGGTTACTTATTGAAAGTCGTATCATGATGTTCCAAATATTTTTTTATTTTTCAGAGTCAACAAAAACCCCGCCCTGTGTATTGAGAAAGAACGCACAAGAAGCTGAGAGAAACTTTAGGGATATCCTGGAGCTCACGGAAAGAGAGAAATTATATAAACCTGATGTGGTAAATGCCAATAAATACAAATTATTTTGAAGGACTAGCTTTTCCTAGCTACTTCGCCCACGTAAAATTATAAAATAAAAAAAAATCGCAGCCTATGCTCCTCACTGATAACGTAGCTTTTTAATGATGGAGGATTTTAGTAGTTTTTGAGTTATTTCAATACATACAAAAATACAAAGCATTCTTCTTTATCAAGAGTCTATGTTATAGTTTTGGGCTCTGATGAGAAGAGAACATATTATTTTTTGAAGTTATAGAGGTTTTTATGTTATCAAGGTTCTACTGTATTGGTATGGAATAGAAATAAATGGTAATTAGAGTTGTTCAGCCACCGACTTTCCTAAAAGTTGAATATTAAAAGTTAATATTATTATGGGGCTGAAATATATCATTTTTATTTTTAATTATATTAAATACTAGCTGTTCCATGCGACTTCATTCGCATAATATTATGAAAATTTTATTTAGTTGTTTACATGTGTCAAATTGTCAATTGCAAATGTCAAAATGACATGACATTATGACAAACCGTGGCAACCTTGCTTCCTTGATGTTTGCAGCAACTTATGGTCTCTTTCCCACAATAGGGTTTTTATCCAAAATATTTACCCCCTAAGTTTAATGGCGTGAAAATATATAGCCTAAAACATGACGTAAGTGTAGGCGTTTTTATTAAAAAAAAGAATTATCCAAAGGCAAGGCAACAAAGAAGTGTGTGTTTACACTTTATTATAATAGTATAGACTGGACGAAAGATAATGATGTATTTATTGTTCAAGGTTGAATTATTGGAAAAACTAGAAAATAACACAACAGTGATTGCTAAGCTAGAAGAAGAGATTGTTGCACTGACCAGTATTAAAAAAGATAATGAATTAAAGGTAGAAATGTTAAATGAAAAAATAAGAAAAAACGAGGTGGAGGTTAGAAGTTTAACTACAGATAAGGTAGTATAGAATATTTTTGTGATTAGTCGATTAAGGTTATTTTTTAAATTTTTTTTATTTGACAATAGATAGTTGCTAGAGAATGAGATTAATATTGACAATTAATAGTAACTATGGTAGTTAAAAAACATTAGGTATTTATTTGTTATTTATCACATACTGCTGACTTAAAAACTTTTTTAAAGTAATTTTTTGATAAAAGTAGCACTAATTACCATTTATAAAGTATTATTAATTGTGTATTTTTTATTTCATTAGATGTAGTAAAGAATGGGTAATTTTACAGCTCCAATTAGAAGAACGATGTAAAGAGTTTGTTACGAAACTAACAGATTGGGAAGTAACATATGAAACCCTCATGAAAAAATCCAAGAGCAGAGAGGATGAACTGCTTTCCCGCTTAGAGGAATATTCTAAAACAACGAAACCCGTCGGAAATTGTAAGTCTATAATATATATAATATAATATATATAGAACCTCGATAACTCAAACTTCGGTAACTTAAAAACTTCTATAACTTACCCATCATGTATGTTTAAAATTTAATTTAATGTAATACTTTATATATCCAAATGATATCTCTAAATGCAGTTAAATCACCAGAAATCACAGTGCTGAAAGATATACCGAGAGGCTTATCATTAGTTGACAGTGATAACAGTGTGAGCACTGAAATATCCGCATGCGATAGCACGTCTGAAAATATTCGACAAATTATTACAGATCTTAAAGAACAACTCTCAGTAAGGGATAAAAATATAACAGAGTTAGAAGCCAAACTACTCGAACAGAGCCAAAAGGTATTTATTTTGGAAAATAAAACACAGGAGTTAGATGGATTGATAATTTCACTCGAGGAAAAGTTAGCGGATTCAGAAAAAGAGACTTCTCTTCATAAAAATACGATAGATACGTTGAATACTTTACTTGAAAACCAAAAATGTAACCTGGAAACGGCGACGAAAGATTTACAGTCTTATAATGACACAATTCAAGAACTACGAAAACAATTAACTGGAAAACAAAATGTCCGTTATTCTCTCAATGACGCCGAAGTAGAACAGTTGATTGACATTGAAGAGAAAAGTATTGCTAATAATGAAAATGTAGCTAATATTATTCAATCATTGGAAACTGCTCTAGAAACTAAAAATAACGAAATAGAACTTCTTAAATCTACTATGCAGAACAGCGAAGAAAGAGATAATAATACGACATCTTCAGAAAAACTGGAATCTGATTCACAACTAATTAAAGAACTGCAAAAGGAAGTAACGGTATTAACACAACAGCTACAAGATATTCAGACTGAAAAAGAAGAACTATTACTGGGAAAAACTAATTTATTGTTTTCGTTAGATGATCTTAACAATGAATTTGCAGTTTGCGCAGAGAACAAAATTGAATTAGAAAGTAAAATAAGAATGTATGAAACAGAAATTAAAAATACAAAAGAAAGAAATGAAGAACTACTAAATACTTTAAATGAGAAAGCAATCGCCGTAACAGAGTTAACAGCTAAGAATACTGAACTGCTAAGTCAACTAAAAGATAATACTGAAAAAACTATTCACTTACAACACGACCTGCAATTAAAAGATGCCGAGATTGGTTCTTTACGTGACTCTAACAGTGATAATGTAAATAAAATTCAAGCATTAATATTAAAACTACATAATATTTTGTCTATTATTAAAGGTACCAATGACGACTGTCCAAACACAAATAATTCACTCGATATTTATGAAGCGCTAAGTGAAAAAATAACAGACCTATGTAATAATACATCTGCAATAATAAGTGAACGAGATGATATTAAAAATCAATATACTAACTTGTCATCTTCAATAATGAGTACCGGGAAACAATTTATTACAGCAATAAAATCTGCTATTGATGACATTGGAATGATAAAAACACAGGTGTTACAAAAACCTTTGGGTGAATCGAAAATCAGTGAAAATGGAATTCACGAAAAACGTTTAGACAATGATGGTAGTAAAGAGTTGACTCACGTAAAAGAAAATATATCATTTTCGGAAACAAAGCCTTTGTTAGATGAAATATCTGGATTGATCGCACAAATGAAACAATCAATTGACAGTATTAAATTAGAATCGAAATCTAGTATTGATGCTTTAACACATTTAGTAGAAGCACGAGAATCAAAGTTAGCGGAACTTGATCATAAAATAAATGAATTAACTGAAGAAGTGGACAAAAAATCACAGCAACTCATATCTGCTGTAGAAGAATGTAATAGAGCTAAGGAAGATAGTTACAAAACATTTAAGGACATTGTAGCTACAATTTTAACCATGGCTCAAAAGTTAAATATAGAACATAATATACCATGTGCCAAAGAAACTGACCAATCACGAACTTATTTCGGCAACAATATTGTCCCTGTACTGGATAATGTAGTTCGTCTCTTTTTGATAAATAATACAGAGAAAGAAGAAAATGTCCTCCATGCTAATAAAGAAATGGAACATTTGGCTGAACAAAATAAATTATTAAATAAAAATATGTTGGAAATTGAAGAAAGTAGAAATGAACTGTCAAGGGATTTACAAGAAGAACGAGAAAATAATAAAAGTTTGATTCGAAATTTAAAGACTACATCGAATTTACTCGATGATTTAAAGCAAGAGTTGAATATAAAGGTTGACGAAATAGATGCCATGAAAAACAAAATGCTTGAATGGAAAGATAAATTCACTAAACTTGATTTGATGAAAAAAGAACAAAATGAAGTCTACGAAGAGAACATGAGATTAAAAGAAAAATGTCGAAAATATGAGTTAATTCAAAAAGAATTTAAAACAAATTCTGACTCTTTTCTTACAGATATGAAAGAAAAATATGTGAAAGAATCAATGCAAAACGTTAAAGAAAGGGATTCCCAATCTCCTCTAAGTTTGATGACGCTTAGCTGTAACAGAATTATACAAATCATACAGGACCGGGATGACGCCTCGCAGACCGTAACATCAGTCAGTTCTAATTCAAATATAGATGAAAAAGAGACAGAATCATTGCTTAGTTGCTATCAGTGCAGTAAACTAAAAGCTGATTTGGAGTATGCTCAAAATAAAAATCACAAATTAATTAATCTCGTGGAAGAATCAAAATCGGTGAATGAAAACTTAATGCAAGAAATAAAGGATGCGTCTACCGAAATAAAGTCACTTATGGATTACACAAATGATTTACAAAAACGGATACTCAGTCACAAAACAAATCTTTCTACTTTAACCGCAACAACTTATGCTGAGAACAAGTCTTTAAGTTCCCAGGTGAAGTTCTTACAGCACCACCACACACGGTTTCATACCGTGTGCCAGAGAGATCTGCCAGAATTAAAAGACCAATTGCATGAACTTATGAAGTTACTTAGAGAAGAAAATTTAGAAGGAAAGTTAAACGCTAGCTTTAAAAGATTCTCTTTACCCAGTCCGTTAGAAAATAATTCGATTTTATATAGTTTTAAAAATGAATCTACATTAGACGGAGATCTTTTGATGTTAGACACAAATGTGACTTTAGTCAACTCAGCAGATAATACACTCACAGGTCATGACCAAACATGTTTCGAGGCAGCTGAGGCTTGTATATACAACGATACGGCTTCTCAAACACCCGCTTGCTATCTACATGATTCACACGAATCTTGCAATAGAAACATTGAAACGATTCAATCGTTAAAGTTAGAAAATCAAAAACTCAACGACATGGTCGAAAAGTTAAAAGAAACGGTTGTAGTCAAAGTTGACGTTGAAACTAGTCCGATTAAAGATATTTATTTTGAAAATAACTCTAAAAGCAATTCAGGATGTCAAAATTGTAAATATAAAGAAAAATGTGATCTATTAATTCAAGAAATTGATGATTGTAAACTTAGATACATAAGTTTGTCTGGTCAGAAAGAAGATGTCGAGAAAAAGTATAATTTAGAAATTCAATCCGCTGAAGGTTTAATGAGAAAATTAAACAATTTTGAAAAAGAGCTTGCTAACAAAAACAAGAGTATAGAAAAACTCTCAACATCATTAAAAGATACAAAAGCAAAACTCGATAGCGTTCAAGAAGAAAACGAAAATTTGTCTACCGAAATTATAGAATCTCTTAGTACAGTTGATAGTCTCAAATCGGAACTTGATTCAATTAAAAAGAATAATTTAAAAACAGATATTGTAACGCCTGTAGACAAATTAGAAAACGCCAAAAAATTAGATAAGCAATGTCCTGATTGTCTTAACAAACAGGAAATTATTAAAATCCTACAAAGTAAAAACTCAAATACGCACACTCGGTTGAATAGGAGTTATAGTGATTCTGATAGCTCATCGAGGTACAATAAAATATGTACACTACAAAATGAAATAGTTGCGAGCCGAGAGGATTGTGATGAATTGAAAGAAGAAGTTAGTACTATTAAAAACCATTTAGAGGTTGGCAACGTATCGATGGGTGAAGCGATGGATTTAGATGAAAGTATGAGCGATGTAAATATCGTTGACGTTAATAAATCATATATGCCAGAGATTTCTGAAGAACAAGCAGCAGATATTTATAGTATTGATAAAACGGACTGTTACAATTATTACATAGAACTAATCGGCGAAGAGGGAACGAATCTTAATAGGGACGTGAAAATTATTGATATAATGAAAACGTTGTATTCTAAATTGATGACCAGGCACGAAAATCGTATTGATAATTTGGTTAATAAGTTAAGAGATTACGAAGCTTCAAAGCATGAATTACAAGAAAAAATAAGAAATTTAGACAATGCCTTAGAAGAAAGTAAAAGAAACACGCAAAAGATTCAAAACAAGTTTTCAGTACTAATAAATAATACTAATAAATTGAGCAGCGCCATTGAATCTGTTAAAAACAATGATAGTACAGGAATCGATTTATTCAAAACGCAAATTCTAATGGTTCTTGACACCGAATTCTCGACTAATACTCTTAATATTTTCGAGAGCATTTATAACAAACATTTAAGCAGTTTAAAAACAACTATGGAAGAATGTGTAAGACTACAACAAAATTCGCAAAAGCTGGATAACGAACTTAAAATTGCCAAAAATGATTTAATTAAATTGCAAGGTCAATTGAATTCCAAGGAAAATGAGTGCAAGGTACTGCTAGCTGAAAAAGAAAAGATCAATGAAGTTAGTAATGATTTATCTCTGAACCTTCGTAAACAGGAGAAAGTGTTTATTACGGCGATTGCCGAAGGTTACCAAAAGCTTGTTGCAGAGAATGTATTAGAAGAAAACTACTTTGATACTGCCCTTCCGACAGTTAAAAATGTAAATATTTTATTCGACAAATTAGTTAATCAAAATAAAGCAAAACCCTCTTTGGGAGATGCAGATCAAATAGAAAATCTTAAACGGGAGATAACAAATTACAAATATATTATAGAACAGAAGAATAAAGATCTCCAAGTGCAAACAGATCAATGGGAAACAATAAATAAGAATAATGAAAAAATTAAGGAAGAACTTCAACAAAAAGACGTTAAAATACAAACACAGAAATCACTATTTGATGATTTAAATGCGATTTATAACAAGAAAGTAGAAGAATACGATGTACAAGTTACGCTAGTTCATAATTTAACTTCGGAAGTCAGTATTTTAAAGGAGTTCATTTCAAAGAAAGATACGATGTTACAAGACCTGCAAAGCAAGCTTAATAACGTAGAAGAGGAATATAACAACTTAAAGATCGTTAATCAAATGTTAACGAATGAAAAGGAAGCAATGGCGGCCAGGTTGGGAAAAGCTGAGATAGAAATAGAAAAAAATAAAATAGACTCAGCGAAATTGGTATCAGAAATGAATACTCTTAAAGCATCCCTCAAAGAAAACGATAATAATGTGGATTGTATTAAAAAGGAAGCGAAATCTTTGATGAAACAAAATGAGCAATTAAAACAAGAATTTGAACAAAAATGCAAAGATCTGGCGCGATTGGAGTTTAACATCAAAACTCACGAGACAACGGCAAAGATACAAACTAATATGATCTCAAGGTATGTAGAATATTAATAATTGCAAAAAGAACTTCATTAGACGTTTCCTAACTTGATTTATCTTTAAATTTAAGAGAAGAATTAGTTTTTTTTTAAAGGTATACGTTTTATACTTTACAGGTTACAAAAACAAAAAGAAGAGGACATGAACATAATATCACAGAAAGAGAAGCAACTAAAAGAATTGAGTGAGAGAATAAGTTCTCTACAAGAGGAGTGTGTCGGCATGAGAGAGAGTATTGAAGCATTGAGACACGAGAAAGATGCATTAACACATTTGAAGCTAAGCCTTGAGGTAAATAACCTCAAATACAAATGTAAATTATTCAATACTAGCCCGCGACTTCGTCCGCTTAATATTAAAAAACAAATGAACTACATTAATAATAAAAAGCTACGTATCCCTCGGGAACCGGACATTTCACGGGGATAAACCTTATCCCATGTGTACTCCAGACTTTTTTATATCAGGTTTTTTCCTTTGCTATTTTTCTATATCCTATACATAACCATCATACAATGTTAATTAGTGTTTCCATTGTCCTAATACATGTAAAAACCTATTACCGTGTTTCTTTTTATAGGAAACTAGCTGTTGCTTGCGAGTTCGCGTAAAATTTAAAAAAATCAATATGAGAAACATTGCGTATGTTACTCAGTGATAACGTAGCTTTTTAATAGTGAAAGATATTTTTAAATCTGCTCAGTAGTTGAGATATTTCAATACTTACAAAAACATATTTTCTCTTTATAATACTTTTAAAAAAATAGAGATAGCGAAATGTTAAATTCTCATGATGAATCATCATACTAATATTATAAATGTGAAAGTTTAGATGGATGGATGTTTGTTAGAATTTGTAGCCTAAACGGGCGACCGGATTCCGATGAATTTTGGTATAAATGTAGAGCATAGTATGGAAGAACACATAGGCAACTCGCTTTAGACTTTTTTTATTCCACGCGGACGGAGTTGCGGGGTGAAGCTGGTTTAATAATTTTTGTTTACTTGTAGGAAAAAATATGTCAACTAAAGAAGGAAGTGGAGTGCGGGCGGCCGCGGCTGTCCATCGAGAGCGTGGTGGAGACGGCGCGGCGCCGGCGCCAGAGCATACAGGACTCTAACAGGACATTTGGCGAAAAACATGGTAACTTCTAAATAATAGCAAATGCATAGAATACCAAAGGAGGTTCGAGTTATGTTAAAGTTAGTGATTCGGTCATTCTGTGAACAACATTTAAACAGCACAACACTCCTGGCTTTAAGAAAAATTGATGGACCTTTAATAACAGTTTCTTAATTTCACTGCAAATAGATTCTAGAAGTAATATGAGGCAGGATTAATCTTTTCCTTTTAAGACGTGATTATTCCCGTATTTGTGTACACAAACCACTAGCTGGTACACTTGTATGTCAGTTACAGGCATATGTGGCAAAGGTGGAGACGAGGAAGGTAACGAAGCTTAACACTGATGACTTTGCATTTGGCCAGTATCTGGCATGCCAAACTAATCCATTTTACTGGCATGTGTATTTTCGCCTTTTTAGCAAAAAGTTTTTTTTAAATATATGGTTTTGTTAATTCAGATCAGCACAAGTCGGAGTGGGCGCAGGAGGAGGACATGTTGATGGAGGTGGACGAGTGCGCCTCCAGCCGCAGCACTCCGCAACGACACTCCAAGGGGTAAAATGCACTTTGTGTTACAATTACTACCATTTTTATGCGCGGTTTACACTTGGCAGTACAGTTGGTCAGTAGTACTCAGATCAGAAAGTCAATTAGCTAGCAAAATGTGAACGTTAACAGGCGCCAATATGTGTCGCTTGCCGTCGCAACTATCCAACTATACTGGCTATATGTGAACCGGGCATAACAGAATTTTAAATATATATCCAGTATTGAAATAGAAAGAAAACTTTACTTAAAAAATGTTTCTTTATTTTTTTCAGACGCGAAAGCTTGCAAAGAGAAGAGGTATGTATATATCATGTAAATATCTTTATGAAATGCAGTGAAATTACTTAATTTTATTATATGAATAAGTTATGTAATACTCGCATGTAAGTTATGAGTGTAGAGGTACACCCGTAGAGGTAGACGTAGAAAGAGATGGATGTATTGCGTGAAAAAAGCAAGAAGGAAGGGATGACTAAGATGACGGATGATAGAGTTATTTGGAGGACGAATATCCGATACGCCGACACTACGGGAGTAGGATGACATGATGAGATGATGCGATACTGTGAAAGGCAATATAAAGTGTATTGTGTTGCAGAGCGAGGGCGAGGAGGGGCGCGAGGGGCGCGAGGGGCGGCGGTCGTGCGG